CCTTTCAAATAAATTTTTTTTTTTAAAAAGAGAGCCATATAGGAGAAAATATTCACAAAAGACTAACACCTAGAATACATAAAGACAAAGTAAAAACAACTCAGGGAAAATGGGCACAAGACTTCAACAGTTCCAACACAAGAGATCATATTGAAATGGCTTGCATGTATATGAAAAGACATTCAACTTCACTAATCATCAGGAAACCGGAAGTTAAAATCACAAAAAGGCACAAGGCAGAATGGAGAAAAGGAAAACCAGCGGACACTATCAATTGTGGGTAAGAAGCCTACCTACTTCAAAACCTGCAGACTACTTCCCCATCCAGAACTCTCACTCATGAAGGGGCAGTGTTAACTGGTACAATCAGATACTGTGGTACTGTCTGCTACTTGGGAATGTCTACAAAAGCTGAGCATACGTCTAATTTATCACACATCATTTACACTCCTAGGAATACACCTAAAAGAAATGCACACTTTTGTTCATAAAAAGACGTGTACAGGGCTGGCGCTGTGGTGTAGCGGGTAAAGCCACCGCCTGCAGTGCCCACATCCCATATGAGCGTCTCTTCAAGTCCTGGCTGCTCCACTTCCAATCCAGCTCTCTGCTGTGGTCTGGGAAAGCAGTAGAAGATGGCCCAAGTCCTTGGGTCCCTGCACCCACATGGGAGACCCGGAAGAAGCTCCTGGCTCCTGGGTTTGGATCAGCGCAGCTCCGGCCTTCGCGGCCAACTGGGGAGTGACCCAGCAGATGGAAGATCTCTCTCTCTCTCTCTCTCTCTCTCTCTCTCTGCCTCTCCTCTCTCTGTGTAACTCTGACTTTCAAATTAATCAATAAATCTTTAAAAACAGACATGTACAAGAATAGTCATGGCAAAAGTATTGATTATGGCTCACATCTAGAAACTTCTAAATGTCCATCAATAGTGAGATGAATAAAATATATTATGGTATAGCAACAGAATGGACTACTATATAACACGGAGAAGATAAGAACTACAACTGTACATACAGAATGGATGAATCTCAGGCATCAAATTAAATGGAAGTGATATTTATTATATGATTCCATTTATATAAAGAACAAGCAAGGGGCCAGTGTTGTGGCATAGCGGGTAAGGCTGCAGCCTGCAGCGCCAGCATCCCATATGGGCACTGGTTTGTGTCCCAGCTGCTCCACTTCTGATCCAGCTCTCTACTAATGGCCTGGGAAAAGCAGCAGAAGATGGCCCAAGTGCTTGGACTCCTGCTACCCATGTGGGAGATTAGAAGAAGCTCCTGTCTTGCTTCAGCCTGGTATTGCCCCAGTTATTGTGACTACTTGGGGAGTGTACCAGTGGATGGAAGATTCTCTCTCTCTCTCTCTCTCTCTCTCTCTCTCTCTGCCTCCCTAACTATGCCTTTCAAATAATAAATCTTAAAGAAAAAAAAAAGACAGGTGTCCCAGCCACCTCACAACGGGCCTCATGGCCTCCGTCCTCCTGCTGCCTCAACACCTGTTTGATGTGTTGAGCCCTGATCTGGCTCTTGCGGTTTAAGCACTGGGCACTGGAAGCAGCCTCCAACAAGATTTTTAGAACCATTTCTTCTGAGGCTGTTATGCTGATGGGTGTGGCAGAAGGAAGTGTCAGGCCTGCAGGGGTCAGCAGCAGCTCAGGGCCACGCCCCTCTGCAGAGCACAGGACCTGGCTTTTATCCGCAGGAAGTCTCTAACCTGGCTCTACCTTCTTTATACCCATCTCATTCCAAACCCCTCTCCTCCACCTGCATTGTACATGTCCAGAGAAGCCAAGCTATCACATTCCAGCCGTTTCAACTCTATCCTAATGGGACTTGGGACATTATGCAACTTAATTGAGGGATCATTTTATTTATTCAGAGACAACATGAGAGGGAGTGTAATTGACTAATTTGCTAACTAATTGGTTAATTAAATAATGTGGTGGTATTGTGCTGAGAATTACAGAGAATGGGAAAGCCTTTATTTGTATTGGTCATCAGACGGCCTCACTTTCCTACTTCAAACTGTCCATCCTCCCCTCCCCCATATTAGGATAAACAGACAACAAACATCAGGAAAAAGAAAGTTCTGTTAAATATTACTTTCGTCTTTAGCTGGCAGCTTTTATTAAAAAGTTCTATAAAAATACAAGGGTTGGGGCCGGCACTGTAGCGCAGTGGGTTAATGCCCTGGCCTGAAGCACCAGCATCCCATATGGGTGCCAGTTCGAGACCTGGCTGCTCCACTTCCGATCCAGCTCTCTGCTATGGCCTGGGAAAGCAGCTGAAGATGGCACGAGTCCTTGGGCCCCTGCGCCCACATGGGAGACCCGGAAGAAGCTCCTGGCTCCTGGGTTTGGATTGGCACAGCTCTGGCCGTTGCAGCCAATTGGGGAGTGAACCAGCAGATGGAAGACTTCTCTCTCTCTCTCTCTGCCTGTCCTTTTTCTGTGTAACTCTGACTTTCAAATGAATAAATAAATCTTTTAAAAAATGCAAGAGTTATGCTGGGATTGTAGAATTACGTCTCTTTTGAATGTTACTTGTCCAGCGAACAAAAATGGAGGGATCCTCTCTCTCTCTCTCTCTGTTTATAACTCTGTTAAATAAATAAAAAGGGGGGGGGGACCAGCACCGTGGCTCACTTGGTTAATCCTTCGGTGCCAGCATCCCATATGGGTGCCCGTTCTAGTCCCAGCTGCTCCTCTTCCAGTCCAGCTCTCTGCTGTGGCCCGGGAAGGCAGTGGAGGATGGCCCAAGTGCTTGGGCCCTGCACCCGCATGGGAGACTAGGAAGAAGCACCTGGCTCCTGGCTTTGGATCGGTGCAGCGCCAGCCATAGCGGCCATTTGGGGAGTGAACCAACGGGAGGAAGACCTTTCTCTCTGTCTCTCTTTGTGTCTATAATTCTACCTGTCAAATAAATTTAAAAAAAAAAAAATTGAGGGATTGGGGCAGTCAATAGGTAAGACACCCGTATCCCATATTGGATGCCTCGCTATCTCCCTAATAATGCAGACCCTGAGAGATAGCAGGTGATGGTCCATGTAATCCGGCTTGGGTCACCCACATGGGAGACTTGGATTGAGTTCCCAGCTTCTGGCTTCAGCCAGACCCAGCCTGGGCTGTGTGGGCATCTGTAAAGTGAACCAGTGGATGGGAGCTTTCTCTGTCTTCTCTCTACCTCTCTGTCTCTCAAAAAAAAAAAAAAAACAAAAAACAATGAATGAATGAATTTCTTCAGATCCATCTTTATTACAAATGTACTTGATTGCACCGGCGCCGGCGCCGTGGTTCACTTGGCTAATCCTCTACCTGCGGTGCTGGCACCCCAGGTTCTAGTCCCAGTTGGGGCACCGGATTCTGTCCCAGTTGCCCCTCTTCCAGTCCAGCTCTCTGCTGTGGCCTGGAAGGGCAGCAGAGGATGGCCCAAGTGCTTGGTCCCTGCACCCGCATGGGAGATCAGGATAAGCACCCGGCTCCTGGCTTCGGATTGGTGTGGCAGCCATTAGGGGAGTGAACCAATGCAAAGAAGACCTTTCTCTCTCTCTCTCTCTCTCACTGTCTATAACTCTACCTGTTAAAAAAAAAAAAAAAGGCCGGCGCCGTGGCTCACTAGGCTAATCCTCCGACTCGCGGCGCCGGCATTCAGGGTTCTAGTCCCGGTCGGGGCGCGCCGGATTCTGTCCCGGTTGCCCCTCTTCCGGGCCAGCTCTCTGCTGTGGCCAGGGAGTGCAGTGGAGGATGGCCCAAGTCCTTGGGCCCTGCACCCCATGGGAGACCAGGAGAAGCACCTGGCTCCTGCCTTCGGATCAGCGCGGTGCGCCGGCCGCAGCGTGAACCAATGGCAAAGGAAAACCTTCCTCTCTCTCTCTCACTGTCCACTCTGCCTGTAAAAAACAACAATAACAACAACAAAAACCCACAAATGTACTTGATCACTTGGCTTCAAAAAGTTTAAAGTCGAAACTTTATTTTCTGTAGGCCAGTACAATGCAAACTGTTTTACAAATTAAATGCCAAAAAAAATTGACAAAAGAGTAAAATTGATGAAAACGGTTATAAAATTTCTAATCTCTTCAAAAAAGGAGGCAGTCGCTCCCAATGCTATTATACAATATTAATAATATCCACCATTTTTAGACTAGGTAGGGAAATTATGCTTTTCTGTTTAGCATAAAAAACTGTTACTGCCTAATAGATTCTATTTGTATATGCTCCAATTAAGTCTGTGAATGTCATCTGATTGCAATATAATCAACCAAATTTAATGGAATTCTAATTTACACGTATTTAACAATCTGTATAGTTGGAAAAGGATAAAAGTTAAAAAAAGAAAAACTTTGAAATTATCACTTCCTAGTCGTCCTGCACAGGGGCTGAAATTTGACTCCAGGTGGAAAGTGTATCAATTTATTTTAGGCCTTGTAGAGGCCTCCACATCTAGAGATAGATAACTATTCCAATTGGATTTCTCAAGAAATAGAGACAGTTGCTAGTAATTTTAACCCCTGCCTAAAGAAAATAATTTCATTTGGGAGCAAATATTTTTTGACTTGAAAAATAACACTGTAATAGTTTGTGGTAATCAGTCGTGAAATAACCTTTATCCCTTTCTAACTACGCAAATTGCTAAATAAGTGTAAATTAGAATTCAATTAAAGAGAGTTGATTATACTGAATTAATTTTTAAAACCAAGGGCCTACGCCCACCACTGTAACTCCAGCAGTGCAAACTCTCTCATCCCCCCTACACAAGGAGGTACGGTGGGAAGAGCCACTATGTCTCTGAAGTCGTGTTTACAAATTGCATTAAGTTCGTATACCTTAAACAAAAGGTTTCTGGGGGTGGGGTGGTGGGAAGACTCCTTTCTCTCAAGCACTCTGCACAAACATCGCGAGAAAAAGCGTTTCCCTGTGCCGCTCCCTCCCAGCCCCTTCCGGCCCGCTCACTTCCTGCCTGGCGGTGTCCTGACGTCAGCGGCGCGCCGGGGTGCGTGAACAGCGATAACTAGGGCGGAAGTGCTCCCAGCGGAAGTGATCGCTGCGCAAAGCGTGGGTGGGATGGCCGCGGGCCGGCACTTTCTACGTGGGCTTCGAGCAGCCTTGAGTTCCATGGCTCAGACCGCGCCCCAGGGTGCGCCCTCTTCTAGGGGGCTGCACGCGGGCCGCGGACCCCGAAGGCTCTCCATCGAAGGCAACATTGGTAAGGGCCGGAAAGTGGCTGCGAAGCCATGGCCGCCTCCAGCTGGTGACTTGAGAGGCTGGGAAAGGAAACTGGGCCCAGAATCCCCCTCCCCCGTTCCACCCCCAGCGTCTAATGCGGCGAAGCTGCTGGTTCCGAGCTGCTAGGGCCTTTCCTCTCCCAAAATGCACTGTGGGGCTTTGCCTCTGATGTTTAGGTCATCGAGCATCACGCAGTCCCCGCCCACAGGGACACGTTTACTGGGGCATAAAAGCCCGCAATCAATAACTAGGACAAGAATTCTGTTTGTTTTAGTGGAAATGGAGGCGGCTTTTTAGTGTTCCTAAGGGTTCCTAGATTTAGGAAAGAACAAAAAATGTAATGCCCAGTTAAAAATTTTGGATAAACAAGGAATGTTGTATATCTTACATGCAAATTTAATTGGCTGTCCTGTATTTTATCTGTCAGCCCTACTCTAAGAGATTTCTTAAACCTGTCATTTGGATACCACTTTCACCATTTTTGTCTTGTCCTTGTGCTAGCTACACTAATTTCTTAGATCGTTCTTAGAAGGAACTCACTTTTAACAACTGAAAACGTGTTAAATTTAATTTTTTAAAACTGAATTTAAACTTTGTTATAAAAGTAGAGACCCAGTATCTTAAAAAGTATTCAGAAAGCAAAATGAAAGCAAAAATTTCAACTTAATATTACTAAATTCCGATTTAGTAGTTAAGAACTGCAAAGGCAGTGAGCCCTAATGGCAATAACAGGTGTTGGAAAACTGAAGACACTTTAGCAGCAAACTGAGAATTTTTCATTTTATTCATTCAACAAATCGTCCTATGAGCCACCTTCCATATGCAGGCACTGGTCTTGGCTTGAGGATACAGCTGTGAACAGAACATATGAAAGTCTATGCTCTCGTGGAGAGGTGGACAGTGTTGTAGTGAGTATGATGGAGAAAAGTCAGGCATGCAAGATTGAGGGAAGTTGTCATGTTGAGTAGTCAAGAAAGATTTCCCTGAGAAGGTGGCATTTGAGCAAAAACCCGAGGAAGATGAGGGAATGGACTCTGTGGGTTAACTCGGAGAAGAATTTGCCAAGCAGAGTGAAGACAAAGTGGAAAGTCCCTGAGGTGGAAATGTGGTCAGGGACTAGGAGGGAGTCACTGTGGCTGGAGGAGAGTGAGGGTGGAGAGTGGAGGGAGATGAGGTCAGAAGGGCAGAGGGGGTGGCACAAGGGTATAGGCCTTGTAATCTATCAAGCTTTTCAATCTGATTGAGACCGGAAGCCCTGCAGTTTGAGTTAAATTATAAAAAGTTCACTCTGGCTTGTAGGTGGAGAGTAGGTGGTGTTAATTAGGAGGCAGTCACTGCAGTAAGTTACGGAAACTTGCTGTGAAGGGCAGGTGTTCAAGTGAAGGGAAGGGAATGATTGATCATTGATTGTGCAATACTGTTTAAATGAACGTCTTTGGTGAATTTGAAGAGTGGTTTTAGGGATGGTAGAAGTGGAACCCTGGATAGCGTAGGCTCAGGGAGAGTGGGAGTTGAGGAACTGGAGACAGAGTAAGATGATCATTCAGAAGTTTCCTAGAAAGGGGAGTTACAGGGTGGCAGCTGAATTTTTTTAAAGATTTATTTGTTTTATTTGAAAGGCAGAATTAGACGGGAGAGAGAGTTTCATCTGGTTCACTCCCCAAATGGCCACAATGGCAGGGGCTGTCCCAGGCCGAAGCCAAGAACTTCATCTGGGTCTCCCACGGGTGTGCAGAGGCCCAAGGACCTGAGCCATCTTCTGCTGCTTTCCCAGGCACATTAGCAGGGAGCTGGATTGGAAGTGGAGCAGCCAGGACTCAAACCGGTGCTCACAAGGGATGCCTGCACTGCAGGCCAACTCAGCAGCTGACATTGAAAGAGGGTTTGAGGGGTCTGCGCTGTGACATAGTGGGTAAAGCTGCCACCTGCAGTGCTGACATCCCAATTGGGCGCCAGTTTGAGACCCGGCTGCTCCACTTCCAATCCAGCTCTCTGCTATGGCCTGGGAAAGCAGTAGAAGATGGCCCAAGTGTTTAGGCCCCTACATCTGTGTGGGAAAACCTGGAGGAAGCTCCTGGCTCCTGGCTTCTCTCTCTGCCTCTCTTGCTCTCTCTGTGAAACTCTGACTTTCAAATAAAAAACACATCTTAAAAAAAGAGAGAGACAGAACCACAGGGAGTAGCTAATTGGCTACCACCAGGTTACTCATCTCACCTTTAAAAAAAAAAAAGAGGGTTAGAGAGTTTCCTCTTCTTTTTTTTTTTTTTTTTTTTTTTTGAGAGGAATTAGAGCATGTTTGTAAGCTGACAAATGATCTAATAGAAAGAGGGAAAATTGGCAAAGCAAGAGAGGGGCTAGAATTTTTGGCGTGATTTTTCAGTAAGCAGGAAAGAATGGGATCTGTTGCCCAGGTGGAAAGAGGACAGCGCTAGCTGAGAGCAGGGTTTACCCCTGGTAACAGGAGGGCTGGCAAGCTCCATGAGCACTGACTTGAGTAGGTGTGGACGGAACTTGGGGAAGATCTTTTGGTTGTGTCTGTTTCCCCAGTGAAGTAGGAAGAAAGGATGTCACTAATAATGAGTTCTCGGGGGAGGAGACTTGAAACAGTCTAGTGAATGAGCAAGAGAAGTGTCCGAATGCTGGGCAGCGTCAAGGACCCGCTGTAGGCTAGTGGTTATGAGTGGAAAGTGAGGCCAGTCACCACGGCTGTGTTTTGTCTCTAGACAGACATTAAAAGGAGTGAGAAGAGAGGGTTCTGGTACCCGCCTGATTATATTTAAAGATGTTGTCGTGTGCTTTAAAAAGCACATCCCTAAAAGAGGTTCTATCAGAACACAGAGCAGGACCAGAGGACTTAACAAAGTACGTCCTCTGGCCAGGTTCCCTGGTGAAGGTGAGTTCCCTCGCACTTTCCTTTTGCTTCCTAGCCTCGCGGATTTCTGTGCTGCCTCCTTGCTTTCTCGTGTGGCAGAGGCTTGCGAGTGCGTGCTGGGAGTCCACCCGCACGCCAAGTGCAGTACTGAATGTGAGGCAGCGCTTGTCCTACAAGGCGCTTAAAAGCAAGTGGGAGAAGCAGACTTTTTTTTTTTTTTTTTGACAGGCAGAGTGGACAGTGAGAGAGAGAGACAGAGAGAAAGGTCTTCCTTTGCCGTTGGTTCACCCTCCAATGGCCGCTGCGGCCGGCGCACCGCGCTGATCCCATGGCAGGAGCCAGGAGCCAGGTGCTTTTCCTGGTCTCCCATGGGGTGCAGGGCCCAAGCACCTGGGCCATCCTCCACTGCACTCCCTGGCCACAGCAGAGGGCTGGCCTGGAAGAGGGGCAACCGGGACAGAATCCGGCGCCCCGACCGGGACTAGAACCTGGTGTGCCGGCGCCGCTAGGCGGAGGATTAGCCTAGTGAGCTGCAGCGCCGGCTAGAAGCAGACTTCTAAACCTAATTTCCATGTTGTGTGTGATGTGGTCCATGACTGGACATGGAAACAAGTCTATGGAATAGGAATTTTTTTAAAAAATTTGTTTATTTGAAAGGCAGTATTGGCCGGCACCGACACACCGGGTTCTAGTCCCAGTCGGGGCGCCGGATTCTGTCCCGGTTGCCCCTCTTCCAGGCCAGCTCTCTGCTATGGCCCGGGAAGTGCAGTGGAGGATGGCCCAAGTGCTCGGTCCCTGCACCCGCATGGGAGACCAGGAGAAGCATCTGGCTCCTGCCTTCGGATCAGCGCGATGCGCCGGCCATAGCGTGCCGGCCGCGGCAGCCATTGGAGGGTGAACCAACAGCAAAAAGGAAGACCTTTCTCTCTGTCTCTCTCTCTCTCACTGTCCATTCTGCCTGTCAAAAAAAAAAAAAGAAAAAAAAAGAAAAAAAGGCAGTATTACAGAGAGGCAGAGAGAGGTCTTCCATCTGCTGGTTCACTCCCCAGATGGCCACAACGGCTGGAGCTGGACCAATCCGAAGCCAGGAGCCAGGAGCTTCTTCCTGGTTTCCCACGTGGGTGCAGGGGCCCAAGGACTTGGGCCATCTTCTACTTCTTTCCCAGGCTGTAGCAGAGAGCTGGATTGAAAGTGAAGCAGCCAGGACTGGAACTGGTGACCATATGGGATGTTGGCCTGGCAGGTGTCAGTTTTACTTACTACACCACAACGCCAGCCCCTAGGAATTCTTGATGGGAGTAAGGGAAGAAGAAAACAAGTGTTTCAGGCACGGAAAATAACGTTTGCCAAGACAATGAAGCTTGAAGAAATACATGCTTTTTTTTTTTTTTTTTTAAGATTTATTTATTTATTTATTTGAAAGAGTTACACAGAGAGGAGAGTCAGAGAGAGAGAGAGAGAGAGAGGTATTCCATCTGATGGTTCACTCCCCAGTTGGCTGCAACGGCCAGAGCTGCGTGGATCCAGAGACAGGAGCCCCTTCGGGTCTCCCACGTGGGTGCAGGGGCCCAAGGACTTGGGCCATCTTCCACTGCTTTCCCAGGCCATAGCAGAGAGCTGGAGCCAAAGTGGAGCAGCTGGATTGAAAGTGGAACAGCTGGGTCTTGAACCGATATGGGATGCTGGCGCTTCAGGCCAGGGCATTAACCCACTGCGCCACAGCGCTGGCCCCAATACATGCAGTTTTAACCAGAGAAGTAGCTGATGTGTAAGGAGCTTGGAGGAGGATGGCAGAAAAAGAGGTTAGAAGGGTAGAAGTTGCCAAATGTTGAAGAGCTTTGTGACCATGCTAGGATTTTATCTGGTTGCTAGTGGGAAGCTACTGAAGACGAAGCTGCTAGGTGCCACAACTAGATTAATTTTGTTTATTTGAGAGACAGAGCTTGTTTGCTGATTCATGCCACAAATGGCTGCGGTGGACAAGTCTGGTCAAGCCAAAGCTGGGAGGCAGGAACTCAATCCAGGTCTCCCTAGTGGGGAACAGGAACCCAGTTAGTAGAGCCATTATCATTGCTTCCCAGGGTCTGCATTAGCCACCAGCTGGGGTC